TCGACTAATTTTGACTTTTATTTTTATTATTTATTTTTAGTAGGCCGGGATAGGAAAACTTCGTTATAAATTCATAATTTCTTTATCCGACGTCCGTTTTCGCCTATCTTTTCATCGTTTCACTACAACAATTAACGAGATCTTCGATTCTCGTTTAGATTGTTTTGGCTAAAAACCGTTTGGTCTTAAATCGAGTATTCGGGCTGCATACTACTAAGTCGAAACTTAGAAAAATCATAACTTTCTCATACAAAGTCAGATTTGGGCGTTCTTTTTATGCACGCTCTCGGTTTAATGAACTCTACGACTTTCATTTAGATTACTAAGGCTAAATATCGCTCTAACGTAAATTTCACTTTTTAAGCCATTCAGCGTTGCCGGTTCTGTCGCGAAACTTCGATAGGTCATAACTTCTTCGTTATAACTTGGATTTTGGCATTCTTTATATATTCGTAAACCTCATTTCAACTACTATAACATTATCCATAGATATCGAGCTTATCTAACATTTCATTTTGATGCTTATTTTCATACTTACTTAAATTAAGTCACACAGTTAAGCACAAAACATATAATACTCAAATAATACATCTTTATTATTTCAAGATGGGTTACAAAGGTTAACCTAGACTATTACATCGCTATTAATGACAGGCCCAGAAACACGGGTGTTACAAAAGTTGTCAAACTATGGAAATTATCGTGACAAAAGTTTGAAGTACCAAAAGGTTACTGTTCCTATATATATATATATATATATATATATATATATATATAATATATATATATATATATATATATATATATATATATATATAACGCCCGATTCCCGGTACATATTTTTTTAATATAATTTTTTGCATTTTTATATTGGGACTCGACGAGTAAGGCCCCAAACTGGTTGAGTAGGGCGAGTCTTGGATGCGGGTGGAAGTGTCTACTCGACGAGTCGGAAGCCCCGACTCGATGAGTAGATCCGTCTGAATGAAACCCTAAATCTTGAGTTTTCACCATATTTAAACAACTTATATGGCCTCCACTCCAACCTCCATCACCCTCATACCCTATTCTCGAAACTCTAATTAGTTTGTAGTGTTCTTGAGCTTTTTGTGACATTTTGTGTGTTTTTGAAGCTTAATAATAAAGAGGAAGCTTGGAAGAACAAGAGGAAACAAGTAAATCCAGAGATTTTGTCACATTCCCAGCTCATTTGAGGTATAAAGTTTGTACCTTGTCCATTCCTTCATTAGATCTCTCCATGTGGTAGTTTAAGACCATTTGGAGCTCATTATGGAACCATTCATGGATGCAAGCTTGTTTTGGTGTTAGGACTTCGGATCCAGAGTCTTAGAGGGACTCCATGGCATAAAGGTGCCAACCTTATGGCCATGGGAGTCCCATGCATCTTATGGAACACTTTTTAGGACTTTATGAGCTATTTAACCCATGTATGCACGTAAAGTTTGTATTTTTACATGCTATATCGATCCTAGGAGGTCAGATCTATGTTTTGGATACATTAAGCCCGACTGAAATCGACCGGATAGACTTGGACTTTGGGGGACTCGACGAGTCGTTCATAGGACTCAGCGAGTCAGGTCTTGGTTCCCCAACCTTTTCTGTTTCCTAGCAATCTGGTTGAGTCTAGAAGAGGACTCAACAAGATGGACGTGAATATGGACTTGAAGATCAAAGAACTCGACGAGTTCAAGGATGAAATCGGCTAGTTCAAGGAAATGTCCCGACTGATATGAAGAAGAACTCGACAAGTTTAAGGAAGAACTTAGTGAACCAAGGGCTAAACGTTTAAATTTACATGAAGCAGGACTAGACGAGTTCAAAGATGAATTCGGCGAGTCATGAGCAAAAGGTCACGATTTTGTATGAAGGAGAGCTCGGTGAGTTCTTGAAAGACTCGATGAGTAGGATTGAACTTTCAGTACTTTGAGGATTATGGAACTCGATGAGTTGGTGGACTAACTCGGCGAGTTGAGTCAACCATATGTTGACTTTGACCAAGGTGTTGACCTTGACTTTGACTTTGACCTGAGTTGACCCTTGAAAGGGTTACAATTATGAAATGGTAATTAAGGAAGGTTGATATGTGTAGGATTTTGAGAGGAGTTGATCCCAGTGCTGAGGACAATTCAGTTACTGTACGACATTAAGGTGAGTTATCTTCCAGTAGAACTGGGTCTAAGGCCACAATGCCGACCCATTAGTAGGAGTGATTGTGGATGATTGTTTTCGTCATAATTGTCTGGTTTGCCACTATTTGTTATGTTTTATGTGCTAGTATGATATGACGTTATGTGATAGTAGTAGTAAGAGGAATAGTCCCCATATCCGATCGATAGGGCCAAGGGGTAGGTCGAACACCTCGAGGTGTCTGATAGTATGATTATGTTATGTTTTTATGTGGTAGTAGTAAGGGGTGAAATAGTCTCCGTAACCGGTTGAGACAAACCGGAGGGGTAGGTCAGACACCCCGGTATGTCTGACAGGGGTAGGTTAGGCACCTCGATATGCCTAGCATGGGTAAGTTGAGCACCCCGGTATGCTCAGCAGGGTAGGTCGGGAACCTAAACATGCCTGATAGTATGTATTATGTAAGGTATGTAGTATAATGAGGGAACTCACTAAGCTTCGTGCTTACAATTTTCAGTTTTGTTTTCAGGTACCTCTTCATCGAAGGGGAATGAGCCGACACGGTAGCAACACATCACACACACAGGATTCCATATTATGAGATTCTTGGGAATGTACTCTGACATTGTTACTATTTTTGTGATATGGTTTTGAGACATGCGATTATAGTTTTATGAGATAATGTGACTCGATGATGTTTTCTTGTAAATGTATTTCTAAATCGTTATATCAAAATAAAATTTTTGTTCTTGAAAATTGGGATGTTACAATATATACATATATATATATATATATATATATAATATATATATATATATATATATATATATATACTAATTGGTTGAAATTATCACATACACAAGTTCTTCAAGTGTAGCATCAAAGTATCAACTCACAATCGATAAAGTTATAGAAAAAAAAAAGCTAAAGTGTAAAGTTTAAAGAAAACAGTAATTCTAGAGATACTATATACACATTACTTCATTCGCTAAAACTAAATGTTCTTTGATCGAGTATTCTTACTTAAAAGCACAATTTCAACGTAGCATCTTTTAAAACCATAATAAAGAACTTGTCAGACAACACCTTAAGAACTTTATAACGTAACAAAAATGTCATTTACTCATTTTCAATAACCTTGGAGCTGCCCAACATTGCTATGTTCTAAAAGTATCAATTGAGATGTAAATCAGGTATAAGTGGTCCGCTAGCTGGTTTTTATCCATATCTAAACAATAATATTTCACATTCTTTTCCAAACTTATACCTCTGAAATGAATTATGCAACCATGTTTCAACAAATTAAATAAGTTAGAGCATAACTACACGGTTTTAGAAGAAACATGGTGCAAAATATATAGTTATTTTATGTTGCAAGTATCATCATTCACCTACCCTTCGTGATTGGACCGTAATGTTTGAGGTGTCAAATTCCATACATGAGGTCCATAAGTTTGAACCTTGTTACATCTAAAACATTACTTCTAGACGTTACCTGAAAAAATAATTATAAAAACACATATGTATGTATATTATGCATTTATATTCTATACACATACGCATGTGTGACATAGTTTTCAATAGAAATCGCTTGATTTCTATGTGAAAATTTAAATAGTTGTAGTATATTTGTGTGTACGTTATTTTTTCTCCAAGACATCCAACCATAACATTATTTTTTTGTGCAAAAGTTATTTATAAATTACAAACAATGATTCTTCTCCTAACCATAAAGCACTTTTTACATCGAAAAAAAAGCCCAAAAACAGTCTTTTATTATAATTTATTTAGATTTTTTCATCCCTTCTATTTCTATTTATTAGTTCTTTACAATTTTGTATTGCATCTTTTTGTTATAAAATCTTTACAAACTATATAATTAAACAAATATAACCAAATAAATAATTCATATATAATACTATAATGTGAGAATGTTTGAGAGTTATCATCTATAACTAAGCAAACATAAATAAACAAAATGTATAATTAAACAAATATTACCAAATTAGAAATCATATAATTAAACAAATATAACCAAACAAAAGTTTCTTGCATCTTTCTCTTGAACACTTCAATACCACCATCACCATAAAAGACATCTTATACGACATGCATCCTTGATTGACCCACAATTTTGTAAGGCCCAAAAGGCCGAAACATTTGTATTTGAAATAGGGTTATATGCATATTTTTCATTTTCCGATACATGTTTGAGCTATGGATATCGAGGGTTTGTGTTACAAATTGCAATGGGTACATGTTTGGGCTATGGATATTGAGGATTTGTGTTAATAATTGCAAGGATTTTTAAGGATACGAAATCTGATAGTATGGACCAAAATCAACCAATTTTCATGTAAATTGGTGGAAATTATCTTAGTTCTTCAAGTATAGTATCAAAGTATCAACTCACAATGGATAAAATTATAGAAAGAAACCTAAACGAAAACCACAAATTCTAGAGAATATACAAATTACTTCTTTCACTATAACAAAATGTTCTTTACTTGAGCATACTTCCTTAAAAACACAATATGTCAATTTAATACAATTTCAAGTAGCATCTTACAAAACCATAATACAGTCAAAAATGATATTTCCAACAACCTTGGAGTTGACCAACACTGTTATGCTTCGAAAAATATCATGTGAGATGTAAATCAGGTACACAGTAGCCCACTAACTCGTGGCTCGCTCATAAGGACCTCAAATCCACATTAGAATTGAAACTTTAACCAGGCTCACAGTCAATATGAGAAAGGTAAATCACAGTGTCCCCACAACAAGATGATGCCCGAACTTGAACCTAAGATCACACTTATAGATTCTCACCTCTTTACAGCTAAAACAGCTCACAGAGAAATCTTTCCACATTCTACAAATCTTAGCATAATTTCATCCGCCTCACGTGACATCCTATAAACACACAAAATTTTCCTCAATTTCTCACATAACTTCAAATCCGGAACCAAATTTTGTCCAAACATCCAACATGCCACTTTATACGCGGACCCCGGATCGCCCTTTTTCAAATAACTTTCAATAAGCATATGACAACAGTCAACATCGGTTCTCGAACCCGTCCTCAAAACTTTACCTAAAAGTTTATACGCCTCATCAACCCTCCCAAACAAACAAAGTTTTTCAATAACTAGATTGTAAACATTCTTGTAGGGTTGCCTCGATACCATCTTATCGAGTAAAGATAAAAGTTCATCTACTCTTCCGTGTTGACAAAATCGATTTATAATAACCCTATATGTAACTAAAGTCGGGATTAAACTTTTTGCGAGCATTTTATTAATCATTTCTATCGCCTTTTCTATCAAACCCATTTTTCCTAATGTATCGATTATCGTCGTGTATGTAACCACATCCGGTTTTATGTCTTTCAAGTACATATCATCAAGAACCGAAAACGCGGATTCCAAGTCTTGATTTTTACAAAATCCATTGATCAAAGTTGTGAAATTTACCTCGTTAACCTCACATTTTTCAAGACATTCTTGGATCAACTTCTTGGCATCATTGGGTCGCCCGTTTTGACAAAAAGATTGGATCAAAAGATTGATTTCGGCTGGAGTAGGGGAGAACCCTTTTCGGATCATTTCACGGGTTATTTCATGGGCCTCGGGTAACTTTCCTTCGCGTATAAAACCGTGCATTAGAACACTATATGTGATGGAATTCGGGACCCACAATTCGTCTTCACTTGTGTTCAAAATCTCTAGAGCTTCTGATGATTTCCCATTACGACATAATCCGTTCAAGAACGCGGTATATGAAACTGTGTTTGGTTTGCAACCGAGTTTTGAGATTTCTTGAAGTAAAGTTTTGGCTTCTAGAACTTTCCCAACTCTACAAAGACCATTTATGAGATCGGTGTATGTCACAATATCAGGGGGACAACCTTTCATCTTCATCTCTTTCATAAGTTCTTTTGCTTTCTCTATGTCTCCAGATTCACAGAATGAATGGATGATTGCACTGTATTCGACTTTATCGATTGAAAAGCCGTGTTGTTCAGCTTCTTTTAGAAAAGAAATTGCAGAAACTCCATAGCCGGATTTAGAGAGCATATGAATGAGGGTATTGTAAGTAACTTGATCTGGGATTACATTACCTTCTTTCATTTTCTTCATCAAGCTCCTAATTTCTTCGATTTTATTATCCTTACAGTAGAAACCCATGATCGTATGATAACATACCTTATCAGGATAGCAATTTGTCAAAGACATGGTTTGAATCAGATTCATGGCGTCTTGAATACGACCTGCATCACAATACCCTTTAATCAAGCAATTGTATGTCACTTCATTAGGAGCGATCTCCACTAGTTTCATCCTATCCAATATCTTCATCGCCATTTCCAGTTTGTTAGATTTGACGAGAACGTAAATGGCGATGTTATATAGAAGCAAATTAGGGGAGATTTTAGCTTTTTCCATTACCGAGAAAACCTGCAACGCTTTTCTCCAATGGCCAGCACGGCTGTAGGATATCATCAAGTAACCAAACGCTTCAGGATGAAGACGGATTCTTCTTCGTGACATAAGACGAATAACCCTTTTAGCGCCTTGATACATACTAGTTTTGCTAAGGATCTCGAGCATGGAGTTGTAGACGATGGGGTGATGCTGGTATCGCCATTGTCGATCGGCCCAATAAAACAATTGAAGTGCAATTCGCGCATCCTTTTGATGCCTTAGCACGGCGGAAACTTGTTGAGGCTTCAAACTTCGAACCAATTGTTTCAATTCGCCTTCAAGGTTCGGAGTCCAATTTGAGCGTAAGTCGATCAATCTACAAACTTCCTTCACTAATGGATGTCTAATTTCATCTCCATCGTTTTCAACCCTTCTGAAACCCTCGATTTCCTGACCATTCGCATCGTAATTTCTCGAAAATTTGGAATCGATTTCCTCCCCTGATTCTTGACACGAATCATAATCCCTACGACTGCCAAAAAGATTTGAAACCCTAACGCTATTTGGCCCCGATCTTTCATCGCTAATATACCCATTTTCGTTAGGGTTTTTTGACGGCCATGAGTGGACGAGCGCTCTTCTACACACTCTTTTCGCAATGGAATCTTGACAATGAGTAGCATACTTGATTGATTTAAAGAGCATTTGAGAAATCAAGATTTGAACGCAAGAATAACAGTTTGTAAACGAAAATTCCTTTGCTTGTAATTGCATTTGCGCTGCTTGTATTGACGATTAGTTGTTGCAGACCTACGGACTACAAATGGAGATGTAATCGAAGTTGGTCGAGAGATGAGCATCGGTTAACGAATACCCAAGAACCGAAATGCACTTTCTATGGGACCGAGAGCCCGACCGATTAAAGGGTACTGGTTCCGATATTCTGTAACCGGTTTCCGGTTCTAAACCCGGAACCGAAAACCAGAAAAATGGATATTTTGGAATCGGTAATCACCCGATAATACGTAATTTCAATCTGGTTCGGGTCCGGTTTGGTTAATTTTTCGGTGTGGTCCTATTCCACCGGATCAAATGCTAATCCATAGCCGAGTCATGTTCATTGTCCGAGTAGACATGTGCATAGATCGGCTTAAGATCAATTTGATTATGGTATTCAAAACCGATTTTTGTGATTTTCTTAAATCAAATTTAACTCTAATCAAGTCACATATAGATCGTTATTCAAGTGATGAAGGGATCGTTGTCCCAATCTCGAAAGGATTGACATCAAAATCACAGATGGATTAACGTATGAATCTCAAAATGATCGAAATCCAGTATTAAAAAGACCAACATCATTCGTTCGTGAAGGTGTTATAGAGTACTAATAACTTCCGTTGTCGAAGGGTTGTGTAATATGTGTTTAATAGTTAAAATATGTTAACACTAAAAAATGATCACTCATTGCCCATTGGATTTTCACCAATGATTTAATTTAAATACAATACAAGTGAATCCTAATCATATTAAACTCTTATTAAGATTCTCAATTTCTAAATCTAGTGAGTTCATAGATGTCTAATCAAAATCAAGCTTAAAACCCGAGCAAAACATCAAAAACAAAGTTTCAATTTCAATCCAATTGGAAGATTCAGCATTATGGCTTAGATTTAAAACGGATAAAATTATATATAAAACATAACATTTAACCTCGTTATCCTCTTTTAATTAATATCAATCAAATTTAATGGATATATAATCAAATTTCATCTAAAAAAATTAAGCTTCGTAATCTAAATTTGAGATTTCAACACTTGATTTGGACTTACTATAATTTGTGGTAATTCCCCTCTCCGTATCTTTCATTAATATGATGGATAATTGTTGGAAAACATGATGATCAAGTTGATCGAGACGTTGATGCCAAATGGACGGATGAAATGGTGATGAAAGCTTGAGGAGTCAGGGATTTGACATGATAGAGATCATCAGTGTTGTCACATCGAAGGAGGATTTGATGGGTACGGAAATCTTTCACAGAAAAACCAAAAGCATCAAATTCAATGATGCACATATTTTCACAAACAAATCAATGAATAGAGATAAGATTTTTAATAATTGAAGGAGTAATTAAGACATTCTTAAGATTTAGAGTATGATAGGGATTTGAAAGTGAATGGGTAGTGTGTCTCATTTTAGTTACAGGAATAGAAGATCTGTCCCCTACAAAAACGAATGAAGAAAAAATTACTATTATTATCAAAAACAGACTTGAATATACATGCATTTGAGTGGAGATGAGAGGTGACATCAGTGTCCATATACCACTCAGCTTGACCTGAATCATTTAAAGCCATAGTATAAGACATTAGCCTCAATATTGTGCTGTTGGGCTTGTGCCTATTTGGGCCCACCGTTGTCGAAAGGAAGAGATGTGAAAGGTGGGCTTGGTGACAAACCAGATTGATGAGTAAGTTTGGTAGCTTAAAATTTAAATACTTACTTTATGACTTTGATCCCTAAAATGGCATCCAATGACATTGCTAACCTAAACTTCCAATCTAAAAGCATCTCAAATGGAGATTTTTTTTATGAACTATTACTATTTTTTTAAATAAGAGTTTAACATAGTGTACAATTCATTTGTTTTTCAATATATATTAAGTGGTCAGTATATTATCTTGGTTTGAACATCTAACCTATTTTTATTTAGTAATATGCCATACTACCCGTTTAATTATATTAAAGTTAAAATATATTTGATTTTTTTAATATTTAATTATTTTATTAAATATCATAGTTGGCAATTATTATATATTACAAATGTTTATGTATTACAAATCATAATAAAGTTTAAAACAAGACATATTAAATGCATTAATACTTATAGTAACTTTTAATACATAAACGTAGGTTTTATATATATATATATATATATATATATATATATATATATATATATATATATATATATATATATATATATAAATAGCTAGGGGACAAGTTAGTTAAATTTACAAAAAAAAAAAAAAAAAGTTACATAAGAAATTAACCATTGAAGATGTTATTTAATTCGAGGTTAAAATTAAAGGGATGATGATGTGGCGTCTAGGTTGAGTTATAGTATATGTTAACGGTTGGAGATGCTCTAACTTACAAAATGTTAAAGTCTTATCATTTTAGGCCAAAAACCTAGTTTACTAAGTAATAAGGTATAGGAACAACCCATATACACCTCTTGGGCTAGCACAAGAGGCCCTATCAAGCCCACAAGAATTAACAAACACATCATATGAAACGTACTAGCAACGTTATCCTTTCCTACAAAGTAATCGACATTGTACACAAGAATAAATTACTCACTTGGTACAAAAGCAATATCCCAAAAATCCAAAAAAAACCCAAGAAATATTATTCTATAGAAACAACAACTGTGAGAGTATAATGTCATTAATCGAAAACACAAAACAACAAAAGTCCTCCCTTAAAGTATAAATGCTCCCCCTATTTAACAAGGAGGTATGCAACAAACAAACATCACAATACATTTTTAAGTATATCAGCATCATGATTCCAAGTTTTTGACTTTGGCATCGGAGATTATATGCTCGTGACCAAGATCTTCATTATTTTGCAGATGTGACGACTTATGAAGATCGTAGAAGAAGTCCACCCTTTGTCCATCCATTGACCTCATAAGAAGTCACTTAGCATCAATAAGTTAAGTCCAAGACAAGCTTACGTTTCAATAATTGGCGAGATTAACATTTCTAGTCTCTATTATTTTGTCTAAACCTTAAATAATAAAATTTCTTATAATTTGTAACGACCCAAAAACGATGCTAAAATTTTTCTTTTAAAAATTATTAATTTCATTCATTAACTGTACCAAAAACCATCATCCATTATAGTATTTCAAAACGTCAGAGTACAAATATATCAAGTGTAAAAATTATATGGGGAGGATGTTGTGTCATCACGCGTGCCATTTCTTTTTGAACTGGAAGTACCTGAAACCATAAACATAAACTGTAAGCATAAAGTTTAGTGAACTTCTCAAAATACCACATACAACATACATATAATATAACAACTCATGGCTGTGTCAGGTCCGTATTAACCCCCGGGTCCATATCAACCCAAAATAACAAGTAGCTGTGTCGGGTCCAAAGCAACCGTCGAGTACGTATCAACCCCGAGTCCATAATGACTTCGAGCCTAAACTAGCTCAATACATAAATCATACATTCACGTCATACAAAATCATACGACAGTGTTAACATATTGTCGCGCGCGTATTAAGCAAATAAAATTTTCACTGCTTGTTGCACTAAAATATAGCATAGGGAAGCAGGGTCGAATCCTAAGGGACACAGTCTAACGGTTAATATCTTTTTGAATCAGGCACAGTCTCGTCAAAGAAACATAGAATATAAAACATGGTTTTTAAATTAAACTAAAAACTAAAAATTGTTGTGAAAATAAACTAAACGAAAATCAATAATAAAAACATGTCCAGCTCTGTTGTGACTTTCCTAATCATGCAATCACTTCAAATCTGGTTATTTCGAATGCGTTCTATCTAAGCTGATAACGAGAAAAACTAACAAACTCTAATATAATATCTTTTACCTAAATTAGTTAACCGAAATAAGCTCTTTGAATTAACCCTAATTTTTTATTGTTCAATTAAACAAGCTCTTAATTAAATAAGAAAACTGTTAGTAAAACGTCTTCGATTTCCGTCCTTGAGAGGTTCCTGTAAAGAAAGATTAGATACAAACGATGTGGCTGAGGCTCAAGTTGGACTCGATTCCCTTAAACAGATTCGCCGTCTGTTCCCAGGGTACAACAACCTAAACAGTATTGTGTACTGCCGGAGATAACCACTTGCCTGAGAAGATCGTCGGAAGCAGGTATGCAGAGAAGGAAGAAAAAGAAGAGTAAATTCATTCGTGTGTCTGAATGAGAAGGCAATGGTCTTCTTTTATAGTCGAATTGAGAAACGGAAACAAATCACTAATTGATTGAGAAGCAGTATTGTGTACTGCCGGAGATAACCACTTGCCTGAGAAGATCGCCGGAAGCAGGTATGCAGAGAAGGAAGAAGAAAAAGAGTAAATTCATTCGTGTGTCTGAATGAGAAGGCAATGGTCTTCTTTTATAGTCGAATTGAGAAACGGAAACAAATCACTAATTGATTGAGTGTTTAATGACAATAAATGTCATTAATTACGCAATTAATGCATCCATTACAGAATTCAAAAAATAAGGACCAAAACTGTCAAGTTTAGCAAAAACAAGGGTAGCGCGCGCCCGAGTTTTCGGAGTTGCATTCGTGTCCGCAGGTCGCGCCCATGCATGAGTTCGGTGTTTTTGGTCTACGGAACCAAGATTTGCACCCCCTGCGCGCGGGTAGGAATTGTAGCATAACCATAGACACAAGTTTGTAAGCCTTCCATGCAATGAAGCTTATAAACCTTGTTGAGTTTGGTTTCTCTACCAATGTGGGACTCATTCCCACATTCCTCTCTTTTGCTAAACTTATTCTCAAATACCCATATTTGAGTATCGATATCTCATTCACTTATACTCTATTTTGGACATATAATATATCGTTTCGAAGTCCTCATGGAGGAGAACACAAACCCACTTAGAGTTCGTTATATGTACAACATATGTATATATTTATATATGTCCAAAGT